GTATTTAATACCGCAGTTCAAAATATATGAACTTCATATATTCATTGTATCTGATTTATCATCACGGGTTTATTACGAATCAACTTAACGGCCTGCCCCCAGTTGGCTTGTTAGCTCAATTGGTAGAGCGCTGCATTAGTATCGCAGAGGTCAGTGGTTCGAATCCCGTACAGGCCTGATATTTTTTTTTTTCAGGTCTGAGTTTCGCTATTGTCTAAATAGCGCTATCTACTGCGAAGGACCGTGCATCATACAAAAGCTAAGTTCGTCCTTGACTGGGTTCCCTTCTCAGGTTTTAAGAAAACTTTCTACTGTATATACCACTGTACAGGAGTGTCACAAACCTCGTCTCAACTCCTGCATTTCCAAAGCTTCTCCGGCGACTTCAGCACCTTGATCATTTATGTTCTGCTGAGAACCAAATTTAAACTCTGGAAGATAACTCGCTGCTGTCACTCGCCTTAAATTCACCCTTTGAAAATATCAAGAAAAACCAGCTGACTCGCAAAACGGCTCGCGTTGAAAAAAGTAAATGCATCTGAGTTAAATTAAAATGATTTTTAAATGAGCTATTGGAAGTAGAATATTGTCGTACTTCACAACAAAGTTCTTTGGGGGATCTAACGAGCGATAGTAACCAACTCCAACATCTTCCATGAAATCCGCCATATTTGTTTCTCAACTATGACCCAGGCTCATGGCGACTGCTCTGTCACGGAAGAAATCATAGTTTGTGGCGCGTCAGAGTAACATCAACCTACACGAGGTACATCTTCGGATTTCTCTTACGAGGACGTCACGTGTACCGTCGGATTGTACCTGAGGTTGAGAAATATAAGGTAATTTGGCGAAACAATTTCGTTCTTGTACGGTCTGGGTTATATTCATGTACTTTGTGTAAACCGATGGAGTTCGACTTACTCATTTCCAAGTGTAAATTTCAGTAATCGTGCGATTTCTAGAAAATCAATCGCATATTTGTTGTATTCGGCGTTGTGTCCACGTAAGTACCATAAATAAACGTCTACCGAACGGAGGTCACGCTGAGAGCTAAAATCAACAATCGGTTGTAATCACCCGATTAAAAACTAGGAACTTCTACTCGGCTAAAGTGCTCTGCAAACTAACGTTGAAAAGTATTGCTTTTATCAGCTAAATGCAACTAAACTTGAATCATGGCATTACACTATTTTATGGTTTTCTAAATAATTTGACAGAAAGTTTCAAAAAGTTACTGTAAACAACTACCAGCCAAATACTCATTAGGAAACTTATTTACAAGATAACTCATCGTGTAATAATTGGCTATTTGTCAGAAAAATATGTCAATGCAGGTGCACATTACAGACTTACAGTGCGTGATGACAAAATGTAGAGGATTGTTATGGCTTTTTCTCACCATACAGACCAACAACCCACGATCATGGTCATATCTTTGCTTAAGAATTTTCGTTTAGGAGAATAAATAAACAGATTCAAGGGTATCCGGACAACTCGCCCCTAGGACAATTAGCCCCAGACAACTCGCCCCCGATCTTCAGACAACTAGCCCCGATCTTCAGACAACTGGCCCCCAATATGAAAACACCTGTGTTACGTTGGACAAATATATTTTTATGCTCATAAAGTGATAATTTATTGAAAGAAGAAGAAAGTTTGTTTTTTAAAGTACATTACGAGACCGAGACTTCCGCTTGTAGCGATCGATTGTAACGTTCGCGTGAACACATAAACGTGACCATTTTGTAATCCAGCCACGTAACATAGTAAGTAAGTAAGTAAGTAAGTAGACTTTATTGGAGAGGGTGACACTTGACAGTAACTAAACTGATAACCTAATGCCCCCCCCTAATGTTTCCATATTGGGGGCCAGTTGTCTGAAAGTCGGGGACGAGTTGCCTGGGGTTGATTGTCTAGGGGACGAGTTGTCTGACATTCGATTTAAGTTTATTGGTTTTGATTGACATTAAATGTGTCAACAGGTGTTTGATTAGCATGGTTTTGAACTAATTACTAATCATCTCTCCGGGCATTACATATATTTATACCAGGCTTTAAACCAGTCCAGCAATTTAAACTAATCTGCAGGTGGAAATAAGCTTCAAATAAACTCAAACAGTTTCCAATCTGCAGCACTATGTTATGTACTATGAAGTCATTGATGGTTAGTAACCTCGGCAAGTGATTGCAAAAATACAAGGAATTTTTAAATATAGTATTTAACCTTTTCACTCCAAGATCTGAAAGTTAATCCTCTGAACTAATACCACACATTTTCTGTGCTGACTGGTCCTGAGAAATTTGGAGTTATATCAAGCCTACCTTATTGATAAAGGCTGATAGTTTCTAAAGAAACTGTTTGGGGCAGCGTCGGTGGGGGTAAAGAAATAATTTGGATACATCAAAAAAGTTGAAATGGTAAATTGATCACCGTAACGATTACAAAAGCTGACGTTTCGAAACGTCAGCTTTTGTAATCGTTACGGTGGCCAATTTACCATTTCAACTTTGTTGATATATCCAAATTATTACCTTATTGATAATTTTCTTCAATCTTGTAATCTGTCTGCCTTTGAAAGTTTAAGAATAATTTTCATACCGATCACTCCTAGGAGCCAAAAATCTATTGATTTGCCTCCAATTTATATGATGCATTCTCCATTAAGTTAAACGTATATTGGGACAAGTATGAGGACCCCCCCTCCCCTCCTCGGGATGTCATCAGGTATAGCATTTTGCAATTTTTTTACAACAAAACACTGTGAAGAAACTCTTATACTAGGGCTTGACAGAGAAACCGAACTAGCTGTAGCTAACGTTTAGCTAAGGTCGGCAAAGCTTTCTTAAAACTAAAAGATACCAACGACCGATTGTGGTTCTTACCTCCTTTATGTGGATCATAATTCCCCTCTACTAACTATGCGTGGATGTTAGTCCTCTGCGCGACCTCCGTTCGGTAGATGTTTATGATACTTGCATAGATACCGTGTCGAATACAATAGATATGCGATTATTTTTCCCGAAATCGCACGATTACTGAAATTTACACTTGGAAATGAGTAAGTCGAACTCCATCGGATTACACAGAGTACATGAATATAACCCAGACCGTTTAGGAACGAAATTGTTTCGCCAAATTACCTTACATTTCTTAACTTCCGGTACAATCGGGCCGTACACGTAACGTGTGACTGCAAACAAAGTCAGGTTTCAACACGCGAACGCTTTAAAATTTATTTACATAACGGTTGATCGTGGTTGCTGCAAGGAACAAAATAATTACAAGCTAGTACAAGAAACAAGTAGAGGGAAAAGAAAAAGGCAAACAACAGAGGAAATGCAATCGGACAAGGAAGAAAAGACACTTACAAACGTTGTGTGACTTGAAAATCTTGGAAAAACTTGGAGTTGAACGCGGTAGAGAAACGATGTTAACTTAACGAACTCTGATACTTCACATGTTCAATTTTACCCAGAAACTTGTACAAAAGAAATTAAACAAAGAAAAATTATACGAAAAACCTAACTGGATACAAATCACCGTGAGTGAAAAGAATGCGAAAACGATAACAAAAATGTGAAAGCGTGCTCGAGGAATCTCAGGAAAAATCATAAATCTGGACTTACGAAAAAGAGCTGAAGCTGTTTGAAAAATTCAGTGATTACTTGCAAGATGTTATGAAAAGGAGCGCTGCATGGATATTTACTGGAGGGCTCGAACCCTGGACCTTCCGTGCGGCATTCTGTCGCTCTACCACTTGAGCTAACCAGACAGCGGTAGGATTTGAAGAAGGATGCCATGTAAGTGTGGGTTCTTTAACGTCCTCTGCTAACCAGTAGAGAGAAGATGGAGCAGACGGGACTTACGGTTTTTTCGTCCTTATCCGAGAATGTCTATCCATTTCTTGATATAATAGAAAGGTACCACATTCTCCCTGGAGAATCCTGTCGTCGAGGGTTAGCAAAAGGAGAAATGCTAGAGAAATTTGCATGATTCGCGCTTTAGAAACAAACAATAGTACGGAGCTCACAGTACTTTGAGTTTTTTCATTCCTATCTGATAATCTCGAGATAAATTCAATACAAGACAGTCATTTTACATCAAAGAAAGAGTAAAGAAGCTTTGCCCTGAAGCACACAATTCCAATGTCTTTCCACAGCAATGAAGAAAACACTTTTTACTCAATGTTTTTCATTAACGTGAAACTTTCTCCCTTCACGTCGAGAACAGCAGAACCAACGCCAAACTTGGCGGGAAAAATGTCACAAATGGTCGTCCTCGGCTTTCCCCGTCATGCTTACCCTCTTTATCTGTTCCGCATGCCGCAAAGCGTACAGTTTTCTGAGAGCGAGGCTCGAGGAGAACTAACCTTCGAGGACAAATTTCCCGGTACATTTTCGCGCCATTTGGAGGCTATTGTTTATTTTTATGCGAGTCAAGAGACCGTTATTTGAGTTTGATTTTCCGACTCTTGGGAATGAAAAGTTTTGTAGAGGTGATTTCTTAGTTTCACACTGCACATCCTTTACTACACATAAAAATCACGCTATCAGAACACAGTATTGTTCATCGATCAATAGACCAGGTAAAGAGAAGCGATACTCTAAATCTCTTGAAAGAGCACAGTTAACTGTATTTTTTTATTGTATAATTTTGGTGTATAAGTGATCCCCTTTTAATTGGAGAAATTGAAAGAAATTCATTGATGTGATAAAGGCTATTGCCAAAGCGTGCACGAAGCCCGTTTATCGAGAATGCAAATTACGACCTCGAAAGCAACGACTGCGTGAGGAATCACCTTAAGGAATTTTTGGGAGCTTAGGGAAAAAAGTTTAACTCAAGGATATGGGCACCATAAGAAAAATCACTTCTCAAAAATCAGATTGCCAATGTCAGAAAAAATGGAGCAGAAACAAAGTCATAAACCACGTAACTACAGATTTATTACTTCTCTTTCAAGGTTGTATAAATGTGCATTTGTAGAATTATTACATCTTTTATGCCCATTAACTCTCGTGGAGAGATCAACAACAACAACAACAACAACAACAATTTAAACCACTATGTGGCACAATAGTTCATCAGTTAACATGACTCGTTTGAGGGAAAGCCACATCCAAAAAATCCACAATTATGACTTAATAAAATCTTTTTTCACACAAATTGTCTACTGTAACTCATAAATGTAACCTTTTCTTTGGTGCATTGCCAAAAGACTCCTACTAGAGGCCAGAGCATAAATATAACAAGGTAGAGCCACAAATCCATCAAATAGGTGGAATCACAGTTATCTTAATTACATTTTATCATTAATTAGCCACTGGAATAACTTTAAACTACTTGTAATACACTTCAGCTCTGAAGCAGTCTATAGGTTTTAAATATAGGTATTTGTTTTCAAAACCTTAAATCTGGTATATCATTTGTATTGTGCTTAATATATTATCAACCCTTTCCAATCTTTATGTTTGGTTCGCAGTTAACTAAGGAATAGAGTAAACAGAGCTGGCTTTCCTCTCTCTCTCTCTCCCTCACAAGTCATGGAGCAGAGGTAATTATTTCCAAAGATTCAGGGCCATTACCAATGGCCGTTTTGTGATCTGCAGAAATGTGACAAGGCCAGTGCACCTTCAAGCCAATCTTCTCCAAGACCTTTTTCAGCATAGGCCTAGGAAAAGGATTACAACGCCCTAAGGTTAAAGTTCCAAGCACAAAAGGGAAAACTTAAAACAACAACGAAAAAAAAAATATCTAACAATATACACATAAGGAAAAGAGAAAATGCTAAAACTGCCCGGGGTAAGATTACACAAAAAAAAAATCAACGCTCTTTCTCAACTTACCAAATCAAAAGAACAGACTACATCCCTATTACGCTGCGAAATGTAATACTGGCGCAAAATGTAAAAGCGTTCGCCGAAAAATCTAATACTGGCGCAAAATGTAATAACTTCAACACAAAATGTAACAACTTTTCAAGGCGAGATGTAACAATTTTTCTCATGCATAATGTCATAACACAAAATGTAATAACTTCTTTAACGGATAATCAAAAAACTCAAAATGTGATACAAGTAGGTAAGTGAGAGTAAAATACTGGATCAAAGGTCTACAGCGCAATGCGTAAGTCACTTGTATTCAAGCAGATTCTCGATGAGGAAGGCCATGTTGTTTTCTCTCTAGGGATACCTTGTAATAAAGTAAAGATTAACCAACCTAACTCCTCCGTTTAAAAGCGATTTTGCTTATTTCTTGAACGAAGTTTTTATGCATCACTAAGCAGTGTATTCCAGGGTGGAAAAAGAGGGCTAAGTTAACGTAGAAACTAAACGAACAGTCTTGTACAAACGATAAACTCTTACCAAGTGTAATCACAATAATAATCTTCCGTCTTCGACACTTGTTGATCTTGTTGTTCACTTGTAGATAGTTAGAAAGTCCGTACAACATTTTTCTCTCTCCCACCAACATAATTACCTTATCAACGAAGGGGCGGGAATGGGGGTGTGACAGCAAAAATTATCTCTCAAGGGAAGACGCATACAAGGATACAAACGTAACGTTTGCCATGTAACTGCCTCAAGATGTCAGGGTTTAAATACAACCATGTGAATGACGAGGAATCGTTTGGTAGGTTTTCACCGTTTTGGATTGTGCTCACTTGCTTGATTACTCTTACTATGCAGAGTTAATAGAGCGAACTGGTTATGAAACGTGGTAAAATTCAAAGATACGGTCCATTGTTCATACCTGAAGGTTGACCGTACCCGCACGTGACAATGACCGTGCACAAGCTTGATGTTCATACCAAACAATGTCCCGGACATCAATAACGTATTTATTTTCGGAGACGATTTTTCGACACCATTTTAGGCATTTTGGAAGAAGAGCTACAAGAATTGTTTATCACGTTTTTATGTTCGTTTTCTTTTACTATATCAAACTAAAATCTCTTGACAATGGGTTGAATTCGACAACCTTGTATGTGGACTATGTCAGAAGAGGTGAAAAAGCAAGAGCGGGCTAAAACGACATCAAACGGCTGAACATAAAGTTCACTGTATTAACTATGTACTATGTGCTGGAGTGTTTCCGCCTGCCTGAGTACAGTTCCCGGTATTGGGCACGTTTACACTTAAAAGATTACAGTTTAGCGCCGTAGAAAGAGACGATGTATATTCTTATGCTTAAACAAACACTTATCACGAAAACGATGCGAGGAGAACGAAATTTGCGTAACATTCTCTTGTAATAGACAAGGCCAAATAACCTGTAATCGTTAAAAGAATCCTCAAAGTAACCGAATTAAAGATACTTCAGTGTTAATTCCTAAGTGAGGGAACCCTACCTTTAGGGTTTACCAGGAAACTTTAAATATTTTATTTGATTTACGTAATCTAAAATGGGTTAAACAACTAAGTTAAAAGAAGACAAGTCAATCGAAAGCTATTCCATCTTGCGTTATTACACAATGCGTTAAAGAAATTATTACATTTCGCGTTATTACACAATGCGTTAAGTTATTCCATTTTGCGCTATTACACAATGCGCTAAAGTTATTACGTTTCGCGTTGAAAAGATGTAACATTTTGCTAAGTGATGCGTTACATTTTGCGGCGATTATAACATACTAATAAGGCGCTCCAGCCATTTTTTGAACAATTTGATGGGAAATAGAGGCCGTGCAAGTTCTAAATATAGGGAAATATAGCATTTTCTCCCAAACATATTGGCACTTTATAGGAGCCAAAAAAGCCTTTATGAGTAAGTGCCTATAAAAATACAGCTACCAGCCGCCAGAGTGGAAATTTTTTCCGCTCATATTTCGCCCACCGATAGGTACTGGTAAGTAAAGGTGATTTAGTTTGTTTTCAGAATGGCCACTTGAATTTGGAGAAAAACGAAAAAATCTATTTTTGCAGTCGGGACTTGAAAACAGCCAAAATTTAAAACGAAATGGGCCAATCTTAAAATTTCACTTGCATGCAGAAGGGAAGAGAGAAAAAATATTTTCCGATACATTGCTTCCGTTGAGGGTTTTACTTCTAGTTTGGTGGATCATATTAAACCTAGCAGTAATCTGGACAGCGAACAATTGGGAATTTAAGCAAATCACTACGGCTGGCGCTGCTACGGCTACCGGAAGTAAAATTGTCCAGAAACGAGTCATTGCGCATGTCAGTGGTTCCCATCCAGCCGTAGCGGGAAATCCTTCTACGCGAGTGGGAAGGTTTCGGCGTAGTCTGTGGTACGTGAACTTATCTCGCTTCTTTCTTCGCTTTATACATTCTCCTGAGCAATTTTAACTATTGAAATACACTTAACATCTTTAAAAATAGCTTATCGGGAATATTTATCAAGCTTGCTGTCCCTTACCGAGTGAATCTGCCTTTATTTTTGCCGCCGGGTTTGTCGAAGGATCGAAGCAGTGTGCACATGGAGAACGCAGCGAACGCAANAGGTTTGTAGTTCGCGTTGCTTAAAGTTTAATTTTGGCGGGCTACGGCGACGTACACTCCCTAAGCCTCGTCAACCACGACAGCCGTAGCAGCGCCAGCCGTAGTGATTTGCTTAAACTCCCTAATGATATTTTAGAACTGCTTTAATCTTAACCGAAAGAGATTTATATTTTAGCTGAAACTCGTGATTAAAGTTTTAGGCATGTCCTACAACTTAGTTTACCCCGAGACTTAACCCATAAGGTCTTTAAAGATTGCACTAAAACATACGTGAAAACTAGCTTGGGTAATTCAGTTTTTCTTAACATGAACTCTCCGAAGTTGAACAAAGTTTGGTTGAAATAAGAAACCTAAGTAGCGGTTTGTTGGTCTTTTATTACCACAGGAGGCCCGTTGCTATATCGTTACTATATCGTTACCATCAATTTTAAGATTCAATTTTATTGGCTTCACCAAATAATAAGAAAGTGAGATGAGACAGTCATCCTATTTTAATAAATTTCATGAGAAACATAGGAGGATTTCATGAAATGTAGGCTTATCATAGGATCCTACACAAATTACAGGATATACGGGATATATATAATACATCCCTCAACAAAGAGCTCCTAAAATAATCTGCTCATCTTGAAAAGGCCATCAAAAAGACCTACATTGCACATTCTTCACACATTTACACAAAATACTAGCAATTCTTCAAGCATCCCCCTAAATTTGCCAGGTACCATTTAGTTCCAAATATAATGAGGCACTTAAAGCCTATTGTTTTAGTGTCTTGATTGAAAACCTAACCAGGGCTCAAATCCAAACCTTACAATCAGACCTTTAATGTGCCTTCCCTGACTCCAAGGCAAACAGTCACAGACGAATAAAGGGAGTAAATTTCTAAAGAAAATGTGGTCCTGCATCACTGGGGAGTACTAATATAGAATTTGGTCTTCTCAACTGAGTTGATAATGTAATTTGGCTTCCATCAAGAGTTTCTTAAGCTGACACTTCCAGCATTAGCCTTTTGTCAGAACATTTGTTGTAAGTTCTAACAACAGGCTAATCCTTGGAATGTCAGTTTTAGAAACTCTTTACAGTGATTACATTATCACCTCAGATGACAAAACCAAATTATCCAATCATAAATGACCCAACTTCTAAAATTGTTAGCATCTTTTCCTTACCAGAAGCTGTTGGAAATAGTGTAGTACTTCATAGGTTTGTTGAATCCATTAAAGGTAGAGGCTGCTGAGCAAGTGTAGGCTCCCATGTTTCTAAAATACAGCCACTGCCCAACTTCAATCTGATTGAAACATAAGATGAATCTGAAATTTCCTCTTTGGACTAATGACCCAAACTTGGTACATGAAAAAAGGTGGAACTTGTGAATTAATTCCTGCCAGTCATTAATTCAAACTTCTGTACAAAGTCTCAGAGTTTAACTTACCTTTAAGATAGAATTGGTGACCAATACATTGCAAAGAGTAAAACTGTAGTGCTACTTACATTAACAAAGTAAGTTCAAAATATACCTTTGGCAAGAGTGCACTCTTAGTGATACAGTCCAAAGAATCACAAGTGGGGCCCCAAATGCTTGATGGAAATTTTGGAGCAGTCTGGTCAGCACCATAAACTTCAGGGTGCACAGTTGCATGATCAAAGACCAGGCATTTAAAGGAACCATACACACCATCATTGACATAATACATAAAACCCTGAAGTGAAGATTGAATATACACAATTAGTCATCAAACACAAATAGAAGAGAAATGAATAAAGGCTGATAGTTTCTAAAGAAACTGTTTGGGGCTGCGTCGGTGGGGGTAACGAAATAATTTGGATATATCAACAAAGTTGAAATGGTAAATTGGCCACCGTAACGATTACAAAAGCTCACGCTTCAAGCGTTAGCCCTTCGTCGGAGCGAATAGAAGAATTGTGGGTTGTGTGTGCTTTTAAAGGCAGAAAATGGAGCTACATTATTGGTTGGAACATGGCAAGGAGATTGACTTGAATAATCTTCTTTCTGTAAATGCCATTAACAGAAAATCAAAACCACTTAATATCTAACTACACTAAAATCTAACTTAGCATCTTTTACTTGGTTATCATACAGAGATTTACTGTGCTTAATGCTGTTCATTGCTTTCAACAAGACTTGAAACAGGTGGCTACCTCGGTACCGCACCCACCGAAGAGTAATATGAGAAGCCTGGGACAATTTCCCTCTAGAAAGAATGTCTGCAAATTGTGATCTTTACGAAGGCTGTTTTACCTTTTCTAAGGAAAATATTATGTAAGCCACAGAGAAATCATCACTTAATTCACTAGTACGAATTACAATGTAAAGACAGACAATGAACTTATGTCATGTTACATGTAGTTTGTGAAACTTCTGCACAAAGACTTGATGAAAAGGGTCACAAAATCATGCTAACTTTTTACGTACACAGAATAAATAAATGAAATATCTTAGCATTTAACTCTTTGCATGCAAATATAATATGCATGTTGTTGAATGGCGATTACATTAGTTATCATTACTTGATACAGTTTCTGCTCCTAAAAAACTCTGCACTGCACTTAAAAAGCCTGGTTTGGCATGCACGCTTCCCCAAAAACTTCTCCATCACGTCTACATTGGTCGCGTGCTATTCTTGGAAACTAGGCTCCAAGTAGGCGATGTAATTTTCAATGTGCAATGATTTGTCACGTTAGCTGACCTCAAATGGAATTTCAGGAATGAAGTCCAGTGAACGATTATTAAATGTTACTTGCTTTGTAACGATTGTTTAACTCATCGTTGTATTTCAAATAAAATATCTTCCATTTCCTAACACACAAACCTATTGCTCGATACACAAACGAGGTGGCTACAGAGTCAGTTTTTACTTTTTAACTTTATCACTTCTAACAGCAAATGTTGTGTTTATTTCAACTCAAGATTAGACTCCAAGTGTTCAATGGCTGTTTTTGTTTCTCTCTTTGTAGTTAAGACCCAGAGAAGCATTTTTATATGTGCATGATAAATTTACAGAAAAGTTCCACATTTGATTTGCTCATGTGAATTTATTGACAAGCATGACCAACTGATTTTCAAGTTGGATTTCTAAGTAATACTTAAGAAGTACCTTGTTTCATTCGTTGGAAATTATTTGATCATTCTAGTTCAGCAAGAAGTTATTTTAAAGTTATTTTGGTACCTGATGACGTGATGTTTATTTCCACCACACACTTGATGAATTTAATTATGCAAAAGCATGCGACACAAAGAAGTAAATGACTTGGGTTACATCAATCGGTAAAAAACCATCAGTGAATAAATGAATCAAACAGAAAGAAACCATCTAAATGAGGTGAATAGTCCAATAATATATTAATTACTTTTTCTATTTTCTTCTTTTTTTTTGTTAATTCTACTTAAATGCAGTGAAATATACCTGGCAATTCATAATAGAATACCCGTCGGAGCTCCGGTGGGTGCCGGGTCTTACTGAAAGCACTGATGTTTCAGGTGAGAAAGGGTATTTCTTATCAGCAAAAAAATTAATTAAATAATACATTCAAGTGGTAGGATCAAGTTATTTGATGACAGTCATAAATCACTTACAGCTATCACCATTTTATTGGAATTTAGTTATGTTTCACATAATCATAAAGGGTTCTCTCTTAATGTGAGATTCAATATTCCAATGACTATTTGTGCAAAACTTACTAGCTCATCAGAGTCCTTGTACTCAGCACTACCAATAGTCAGGTCATTTCCCCTGAACTGACTGGCCTTCACAGAGCGGCAAGCAACAACATTGAGCACAAGAGTAAAGGCTGATGCTGAATAGAAACGGCCTGGTTCTGCTATGATGCGGACACCTGAGCTTACTGGGAAATGTTCCTCCAGCAGTGGATTCAGAATAGAACAAATCTACAAAAAGGAATCAAGAGAACAAACAGACTGCTAAATTGTTTGTTTCAGAATATAGACTACTTCTGTTCATTGATCAATTTCAGCAAGCCAAAAGGTTGCACACCTTGATTGAGATCATCCATGCTAAACACTGAAAACTTTTTGAGTTAACACCAATCTCATCATCTATCTTTCACCGGACTACTTATAATCTATATTCATATTTTTAATGAGACAATGGTTGATGCACTGATAACAACTCTTGCTTTCAAAAAGCACTTTCATCTTTTCAAGAACTATGGCCTAATGAAGCTCACCATGAAGTTCCCACATACTTAAACAGTTAACTGACAAAACTAACCTCTTCAAATGTAATGGTTGCATCAGGTGCTCCAGGGAAACCACCACCAATGTCAAGCATTGAAAATTTAAATCCCATTTCACCCTAAGTTAAAATTTAAAACAGAGAAAATGCACAAAAATAATTTTATAAGAGTATACAATTTAGAAACTGGTCTACAGAGGCTTGGACAAGGCTGTCACAGGTACCAAATTCAGTAGAATTTTTTAGGTTTTATCATTTAAGACCCATGTTCATTTTCACCCGCCTTTAAGACCAAGCAGATAATTATTTCAAGCTTTCTGCTATTCAAAAGCCTTTTATCTAGAATGCCCAAACAAACCAAAGTACATGGGAAGTTACTTCCTTGTTTTGGTGGCTTGTGCAGATAAATTATCCTCTGTACGTGCAAGTCTAAGAACATGTTTTTTCCACAATTGCACAATTCTAATGTTTCAAATAAATTTACAATTTGAGGAAATGTCAAGCAACAAAAAAATGAGAGCTTAAAATTTAATTATTTGTGACCCTCCACAGGCACACGTGCCATGACATGGCCCACTGAGCATGTCTTAATGTCACAGATATGCACATTTTAATAAGCAAAACAGAGTGTCACAGTAGCTTTTGTTTGCTTTTGTCTCAGGTGGTATGTTTAATGTCATGCTAGATGTGCAATTTGGCATGTGTGCCATAAGGCACAAGTGTCATCTATGCCTTATTGCACACATGCAATAAGACACGTAGCAGGACGAACGAGAGATTAAAAGTCACCATTTCGAGCGTTTGTTAAAAGCTTCGAAGTATTAAATTCTTGCATGTCCATCTGGCGATACAAATCATTAAAAAGAAACTAGAAAATAGAAACAGTGCTAACCGAAAAATACATAATGGATTAAACCCCAAAATGTTTTATATTTCAGTTTATTAACTCAGACGAGGCCTATTTTTAATATAAACGCGCAAAGTAAGCTTACGCATACATTTCAACGAACTCCGTCAGTTCTTGAGTCGGTCTTAATTTAAATTTGAAGCAGTACTGAACTGTTCTGAGCAAAAAAATACCCTCGATAAAATTTAAGTAGGTAGATACAATAATATTCTTCTGGTGTGTCAGCAAAATACAGCAATCGCACAACTTAACACCGTGTCACACAACGCATGATGCTTTCATGAAATAATCCTTCTCTTTTCCTAAAGACTTTTACATGGATGCCTGTTGTTGGCATTCATTTTTGCAAACCCATCTGTTCAAATAATTTCTACAGACGATCAATTGTTTGACCGCTGCCATTAGAAAATTTTTATTAGCCGTTTTTCATCCGTTCGAAAATTTTCATTAGCTGTTTATCCGTTCTGACCTCATCCATTCGAAAATTTTCATTAGCCGTTCATCTGTTTAACCTCATCCGTTTGAAAACTTCAATTAGCCGTTTGTCTGTTCAACCTCATCCGTTCGAAAATTTTAATTAGCTATTCATCCATTCACAGTATCTGTTACGAACGGCTTGCCAAGCCGTTTGTCACCCGTTTGCTTGCTGTTCCGTTCACCGTTCAAACGGCTACTGTTTCGAACATTTTCGCGCAAGAGCTCACAATTATCCAATTTTTGTGATTGGATGAAAGATGAAAATCGTTGCAGAATGAAGACGCATGACTCTGTCGCTAGTTTGCAACAGCATTTTTCAAGGACTTGAGCCCGGTAAGCTAGTGTGCCCTTTCACTTGTCAGTGTGCTAGTTCACTCGGCAATGTGCCATTTCACTTGTCAGTGTGCCCTTTCACTTGCCAGTGTGCAATTTTGCTCCCTACCATGTCATTTTGCATCATTTCTTTGCTTTTACGCGCTTGGCACACTTCTCTGTTCAACTGAACATGAGGTTTTGTTTTCAGCATATGATAAAAACAAAAGCAAAATTTTAATCAGGCGTGCCATTTGACACACTGCTAGCAAACTTGCATGTCATTTGACTTGTTACCTTTTGTTTAACGTGTCATTTTAGCATGCCCGTGCATTCACCTTTTTACCCAAATTCCTGTGGAGGGTCACATTTTGATCCACAATTAAAAAAGATAAATATTGATGTTGATTCCTCTCAATATAAGAACTATAAATTTCAATCCAGCTTTACTTACAGCAACGTTAAACACGCAGCGGGCAGCTGATATAGCTGTTGCATATGCACTTGCATCATAGCATCCACTGCCAACATGAAAACTAAACAGAACAAAACAACTTTTTAATCCAAGATAGATGAAGTGATCTGACACCAAAATCATTAAGGTCAAACTGGCTCAGAGAGTACATTAACATACTCATCACAAAAGAAAATTAAGAAAGGGCAAGTCATTTTCATCACAGCCAAAGAATAAAGAAAAACATCAGTAAAAAATAACATGCTTTTCACCACATTACCTTACTCCAATTACCTTCAAATTCAGTACATGGGCAACAGAAAGGAGATGACGACATTGATTCAAAGGAGCACCATACTTGATTCCAAGCTATTTAAAACAAGAGTAGTTTTAACCAACAGAAAATTTGAAACTTATCACAGAGTGGGTAGTCATGTTAGCCAAGGCCATAGGGCAAAAAAATATTTCTCATAAACTACCAAGGGCAAGACCAGCATTTGAGCCTCTTAAAGTTTTCAAACTCAGTTTTAAACTTCATGATTTGCAAACCACTTTAATCCTCACTGAGCTTCAAAGATTTTGTTCTTACTTTAATCCTTGTTGTCCCTTTATAAGTTGCTCTCTTTTAAGTTAAGGGTGGTTTTGCACATCTAAAAAACTATTCCAAACATCTTTCCAGACAACCAGCATTCAATAACCTACCAAACAGACAAAGGACAAAAATCCTTGTGCTAACCTGGCAGAGGGACTTGGAGTCATCAGTCCTGATGCGCAAAAGTAATCTACAAAATGGATAACCAGTTTGTAAGGTCTTGGGATGCTAAACTAAGGCTAAGGTCAAGTACTTTTAAATGATAGGGTTGTTATAGGAAAACACAACAGGTGTATGATCTATGTTGAGTTGGTGGCTGAATTGGAATATGCTTGTCTAGGAACCTTGGTGTGTTGTTTTGCAACATGCCTTTGGAGGGCATTTTGGGATTCCCTCAAGAAAAACCGATGGTGCATTAAAAGCCAAGAACATGCACCCATTAGAGTGCAAGGGCAAGCTACAAGTCAAATGAACTTTACAGGGTCTACAATTAAGTACAGAGTTTTAATGGTCAAACTAACACCCCAGCATTCTGCTTGTTTAAATGAAACAAATTTAAAAAGTGTTTACCTTTATCACCTTTATTTTTGTTGGTTCCCTGTAGTTGGTAAAGATTGGTGTGTGCTATTGATTAACAAACACCTCTTTGCCATATTGGATCAGGTAGGTACCTCATGTAACACACCATTCACCACCCTAATGTTATTACAGAGCCCCCATTTTCAGCAGAAGAGGCCCTGAGATTCCCCAAGGAAAAATCCTGATGAGAACACTCTTTATTTCCAGTTAAGAGGAAATATTTACCTTGCAGCAGGGTACAACTCTTTGATCTTGTGTAGTTCCATTTCATTGTCAAAAGTCATCAAAGAAATACCATGCTTCTCAGAGAATCTGTCAAGATTTTAAGTATAACATTATATCGAATAGAGAACATACTAAAATCATAATAAAGAAAGCAGGCCAAAAACCCTTTAGCTTCAAATAGCAATCATTAATTACATTCTCCTAACTATAAAAGTACCATTATAGGCTATGGTAATTGAGAAATAATGAGCTGATGCCCTAGAAATAACCATCAACTTCTCAAGACTAACAAAGAAATATAATGCCATTGAATGTGAGGATGGAATTGAAATGCTTAAAACCAAAACTACATAACAACTCTACTCTGATCACCTCAAAGGGGCAGGTGCAAGGCACCTTTATCCTATTACAAATTAATAACAACAATAATAATGACTATTGATAATAATCAACTTTGTTACTACAAAAACTGATAAACCAGTGGCCCCCATAAATAATTAACTAATAAAAACATCAAATTAATACTTAAAATGAGCCAATGGTAGCCAAAAATAAATACTGCAGAAATGTTCCAATATCAAAAGCTCAACAAATAACAAAGATGGCTACCACTGGTTAAGATTAGGGTTAGGGTTAGAAACAAATAAAAACTTGCATGAAGAGTCAAGAAAATTATTATATCTACAGCTTCTTGGCAGCAAAGCTCCAATACTCCCGTTTAATAGCTATGAAGCTGAGAACATCTTGACTAACCTGATATGAGAAGCCTGCTTGCAAGGATTGGCGTATACAATCTTAGAGGGGGGTACACCCATCCCCAACATAGTTTGCATTTCACTCTGCAAAAACAGTTTTTAGAAATTTCAAAATAAATAAAGAGATTCATATAATGACACCTCAGTGATTTTCATTGGATAATGATGCTAAAAGAAGGATTTAATACCTTGCTTGCACAATCAAAACCAATTCCCAATCCTGCTAACATCTTTAGGATTACAGGATCAAAGTTACATTTCATTGCTACATGGAGACAAAACACATGAAGTTTTCAGCCACTACAATGACTGGACATAAAAACTGACTGATTAACAAAAACAAAAAGTTGTTTTATCCTTAAGTATTTCACATACAGTACAGCTCAGAGGTACTCAGCCCAAAATGCATGCAAAAAGCGCATTAAAAAAAGCATGCAACTTTTCAAGAGGCACTTCAAAAAACACAGGAGAAAGAGGCTAATTAGTATGTGTGAGGCTCATTTTTTTTTACCCTTTGTTTACCTTTGAAAGTTGTTTGGTTTAAAACAAAAAAGTGATTGCGATGTTGGCAACATTACATGGTTTTGTCCTGCAGTGTTTGGAGCCAGTTCACTTATTTCTTTTTCAAAGAACTAGCAACTTCTTTAGATTGCAAACAAGATCAAGAAATATCAAATACAATAAAATTGTTATTGTAAAAGTTAGAGCAAAAAACATGAACCTTTAAACATGTGTATGCAAGACATTTTCCTACTGTTCTACCAAGTTGACTTTAGGTTCATAGGATTAGGGAAGAAAATCAGATCCCATTCTGCCATTTGTGGTTCCCTTTGAGTTCATAAACATATAGATTAAAATAAAACTGTTTACTAGAAGAGAAGACTGCCACACCTGCTAGAACCCCTTGATTGGTTAAAATAACATGAATTCAAATTACAACATAACAGTTGGTCAAAGTAAACACCATTTTTCAATTTGAGCTGACTGTATTAACTCAAATGTTGAGCAATACATTACGAACAATATTGTTAACAAAACCCTACTAAAGTGGTAACTGACAACATTCAAGCACAGTGCCATACTCAACTCTTATCAATGAACATATAGCCATCATCCTCATGTAACACTAAGCTTGAATAAAAGTAGGAGTAAAGCAAAACCAGGCAAAACCATTTTTAAAAAAAAGCAGTATTTACTGAAAGGTAACACATTAAACTCATATTCAGTATCAAAATTGCAACTGAATCTGTTAAAGTAAACAGGAGAGTGTGCATGGGAATCTTTGTTGAGAGTCACCTGATTTTTAAGGAAGGTGTACATTTTTCTTAAAGTGGTACTTCTTGGAGGTTTGAGCCAACATTTCAAAAGCTTCAAATCACTCTGTTAAAACCATGCTCGCGACCACAAGGCTCTGTTCAAAGTTCATAACAATCATTCAAATAAAGTAACGAAAAAAACTGAGATGTATTTTGATGCCCAATGAAAGTAAAGAAAATGTACAGGTGCATTTAGCAAACTTTTGGATCAAATTGCATCTACAGTAATTCTACAGTCACAATCTCAGGCCAGAATCTAACATCAACAAGAAAAAAGTGCATCAAGTTTATTAATCCCTTCTTAAAAGTTTTTGCCAACATATTCTACGAAATACTTATGGTTTCATGATAAGTTGTTTCAACATTTCACTGAAACAACAGCCATTTCATCCTTTAGATATTGAGATATGCAAATGCCTATTTGATGCTTCAACAGCCAGATTTTGTCACAGTGTGCAGAACCAAAGTAAGCTGATTGAATTAAATGACAAAAACAAAAATGCGAGAAATGTGTGAAGGTTTTGCATGGGCGTTGGCCATGCAGCTCTGAGCTGTAATGTACAATGACTTCCTAATTCTGGAGAAAAAACTTTTCACTAACCATAAAAAGGTTCTACTCGAGGGAGCAGAGAAACCCACTTCTTGTGTTTGAGAAGAACATCAGCCAGGTCTACAATGTAGAAAGCATCATCAGGGTCCTGGGTACAAACAAAACAACAGCACAGTGAACATTTATTTCCCATATTTATTTTATCTTAGTTAGCTGGTTTTGTTGCTTACCTATCATATCACTTGGAGTAATCATCTCAATACAAATTTACAAAACCAGATTAACCCTATAGACATGAATGATAGATCTACCTACTTTAGTTAAAGAATGTATTGTTTGTGCTACTTCTATAAATATACACAATTACAAACACTTAAAAAGGCTTAAGAGCCCACTAGATAGTCAGGGTCTCCTCACAAACATAATAATCAGAGGTTAGGTTTACATTAAGGACTTCCAATTGAGTGATATATATATATATAAATATAGGTACAACACAGCTGGTATTTTTCCTATTCCTTAAATGACCTACAAATCCCAACATAAACTAGTACATCAAATTAAAGAGATGAACGGATTCAAACCTCTCTCCCCAGAGCACAAAGTTTTTGTTCAATAACATCCACACAGGACAAATCATCCTCCAATATGTCAAGTATGACATCTTCTCCAATAGAACCCTTCATTTTGAATAATTACACAGGAAAGCTGTGAATAAAAATAAAGGTAATAACAAGTTTCTAAAGAAATTGTGGTGCTGCATTGGTGGAGGGTATTACAAGAATATAGTTGCTCTAAAACAGGGCTAACATACAGAAATATCAAATTATGAAACTCAGTTGTAAAAACCATAATTGTTTCATATTATAGGAAGGTGCATGTGTATGTGTACTCTAACAACTTGCTATTGAACAATGTTGAAGGAATGACAACAAACAAGTCTCCATGAAACAAATGTATACAGACTATTAGATCATTTTCTAATTCCAAGTTCTTGGATTAGTCTCCCATCACATTTATATTCATAAACATATCAAACTATCTCACAACTGATTTGTTGATAACAAATGTATACATGCATGTGAAATAATTTTTTTTTTACATCTTGTCACAACCATGAGCTAAAAAAAAATTTTAGAGTCCCCATGAGGTATCAGACCTCAGATTTCACACTCCAATGCTAACACAGAGCCACAGGGACTCAATGGTGGCAAGGCCATTATCATATCAGCATGCAGAGAATCCTGACTGATAAATGTGGGGCTGAAATGAGTGGCAAAAGTAGTTTGCATTTCTCCCTTTACTAGGTGATTGACGTACTTCCATTTGACATAATAAACAGAAATCTTGTATTCATCTCTGACCGGTTACTTGCAAGTTCCCCCTTCCCCGTACACAATGTTGAAATTTGTGATCATTTTGCAACACCAAGCAATAATGAAATTGAGATGGGAAAAAATTCAAGTAGTAATAGAGTGTGCCACTCATTGTAGTCAGTATCCCATTTGGGCTAATGGATATAATTCATCACTTGCCCCAGAGGCAACTTACAAATTTTCACTTTCCTGTCTGCATATGAAAGTGTGAGGCCAATAAGAAGAGCCTTGAGGCTAGTGGAAATGGTTGCAACTTGCCCAACATCAACTTTATTGTTACCCTAAATGTTCATATGTCACATGCAGTTTGCAAACTGCTCAGATCAGCAATGTTGAAGGCCTCTTGTGAGTTAACAAAATTATTCTTGAATAAAAACTTTTCCTTTGATTTCTTTGAGTCAAAACAAGAAGCTCACAATCCATCAAAAAACTGGACTATTTTCACTTTTTTTCTTTTTCCCTTAAGTTATAGTTTTCTGTGATTGTGTGCGCAGTGCTGTAGGGGTCATGCAGTAGCACTTATTTTTTCACTTTGCCTTGGAACAGGCCTTTCCAGAATCAGTGTGGTCTATTGTGAAATTGAAACCTTTGATTTTGATTTTTGTGCCTCCATCATTTTTGTTCCTTTACTTGTTCTTATTCCATCTTAGCGTCTTTATTTAGAAAGAAGAGTTTTTATCAAAAATCACCGTCCATTATGTTGCATAAATTTAGATTTATGGATAACCTTATTGAATAAGTTACGTCGAGAAAAACTGTTGGTTCACACGTTAGCTGTGCGTTCGTCGAGATATAAAGCACTTCGGATGTTTGGGGTGCACGGAAGATACGAAGAGTAGCTCGAGGGCTCGCCGAGAGCCACAGAACCAAAGCTCCTCTTCGAAAACACACGTTTAAATACTCTATTGCAAAAAAGCCATGTAGGTACATTTAAAAACCTTAACCATGAACTAAGCATTGATAATACCATTACAAAGTATTCCTCTCTAAAACTCATCAGGTTGGCGTAGGTTTTTAACGATGGCTGTCGTCGAAATAAATAGACATGGTTTCATACTTACATGACGACTGTTATCAAAAATACACCCTTAGCAAACGCTAGCTTGGGTCGGAATCCACGTTGAAGGTGAATTCGAACTTTTCCTTCTTCAAGAAGTCAGCTTCTGGGCAGTTGGAGTAGATCTTTGCAGTATGGCCGCCCTGATAAGTTGGGAGAGAGATGGTTGTACCGCCATTACTTTCTGTCAACGTGGACTTCAATATCGCACAAAAAAGTGTCAGTAGTTCAACGAAATATGGACAAAAAATGTCTCACCTTCACCGCAGGGTCGCAGCAGACAATTCTTCCCTCTTTTAAACGCGGAATGGTGACTGATTTAGTTTAAACTTTTAAAGAAAAATTAGTGACGAGCGAGCATTCAAACACAGAACAAGCACGACCATCAAAATGTTGGCTGTATGCGACCATGTGCCAACGTCTTTGTGATTGGTCAGTTTGGTAGTCCTACACGATTACGCAAGCCCCATGGCTGGTTGCCTGATCTAATCTATGCACATAATTATCAACTTTAATAATGTACAAAACTATGGGTTCATACAATCCAGGCCTGGGGTCGATCTAAAAGGATCTGTACCTGAACGGGCAAAAAAATTTGAAATATTTGTGGGTGGGTCGCATGAACAGCCCACAATGGCAAAGCGAACTCTTGCAGCCGAGAAGAAATTTGTTTTATGTTAACCTTTCTTCAACTCAGTCTCCGTACGCTATCTGACCAGTCTTTTCGTGAAAGAAATACACAGAAAGAAAAACGAAAAGAATAGAAATTTGAAAAAAAGTGAAAAGACTGAAAATGATATATTAACCGAAAAACGCTCAGAATATAATAATGGCCGTCTCTTGCCTGGGCAACATACTTTATACCAAGTGCAAAAAAACATTGTTATCCGTTTACTTGACCATGGCTCCAATGCTTTCTCCGTGAAAGTATGATCTTGGGTCTTAAAAGAGACAAGTTTCCTTTTGCCAAACGCCACGATGAAACGATTACTTCCACTTGCTACAATGGTTCAAAGTTACGTCACACGCAGTGTGCGCACAGTAATGAAAGTCCTTCTAAATCTTTTTCAAGTTTATCATTAACAACAACAAAGCCGCTTCAAATTCTTCATTCTTGACCATTTTCGTTCATTTTTGATCTAATACAACCTCAATATCGTTTCTCTATTCTATCGAGCAAATAATTTGTAGCGTCCTTCACGTGAAAAGTAAATTTGCATGTCCGAAAATATCGCGGAGTTTGGAACCAGCCATAAAGAAAATAAAGTAACACCACTGTGACCAGCTCGTGCTTTTCACGTGATTCCACGAAACCCTCACTTGATATTTAAAATATTCCCCACTGACGCAAACCAATTATCAGAGAAGGTCGTCTGTTAATATTCAATTAGGACAAGTTCACACACAAAAAACCCTTCAAGAGCCAAGCGCCTGTGGTGTAAAGAACGGGGCAGACTTTGATCAAGCAAATCGTACGCATCTTGCTTTCAATAAGGCAGTTTATTTACAACTTGTATCGGCGTAAGAGTGTTAAAAAAAAAAGTATAACTTAAATTTTCATATTTTTTACATGTACCTATGTGTAGTTAAGTACAATTTTACTTCAATGGAAAGGGACCGAAATAATTTAAACGTATGAAATTCCTGCAAAGTTCAAAATGAGGGGTACACAACATGTAAGTCCAATTTTGTCGTAAATGTGTTAAATCAGTTGGTTTTATTCTTTACCTAAAATAAATACTTAATATGAAATTATGGACACATCTTACCTAATAGTTTTCAAGGCAGTTACATATTTAAAACCTACATTTCAAATACAACCTTGAGCAACTTCAACTTTTTTAAAACTGATTACTTCATTAGCTGATTTTACATTTATTTCTTTACTTCACTAACGCCAATATGGACAGCCTGCACAAAAACTCAACCTGCAGAACTAAATAAAATGGTTTTCCTATATACAGCAAATATATTAAACTCTTCTATGTAGCAGCACCAGCCATGCCAACCAAAAAAATCTTTTAAGGGCCCTTAATGTCAATGGACAAGTTCCATTCTTTTTAATCGATTTCCGACAAACATAAAACAAAATCATCACAAACATACTACCTAATTGTCATGATCCTGCATGGGAGGCTAACCAGACTAAATTAACACAACTATCATAACTTAGATTTAGGACGAATTTCCCTATGCATGGTTCAAAATTTAAGTCATCTTTGGTGTGACCAGGTTGTTCTTAAAAAGACTGATCGTAGTTGCATCAATTTTGTACAAATGTTTATTATATTGATAAAAGGAAGTCTCCTCACTTATTTCACTATCCAAACTTGACTTGGCATCCATCTTTGTGGTTTCCTTATGTGGATGGTACATAGCCCACAGTCAGAGGCCACCTCCTCTCTCTACCTTCAACTGTTATGCAATCATGAATGCACTGACTGTGTACCAGTGGGTAATGTTGCTGTACTCACAGTTGACACTGGCATTACCATACTTGGTAAAGAGTTACTTGTTATTTGCAGAGGCTGTTGTGTGCCATTAGATGCTGGCTGTTGCATAGTGGCAACCTGGTTCAGTTTATTCATTTCCAACTGCCATCCCGGAACTTTCTTGGCTGTCATATGTCTTCTTGCATGTTTCGTCAAATGATCTGACCTCATAAAACGCCTTCCACAGAGGGGACAAGCAAAACGCTTTTCTCCAGTATGAGTCCGTCTATGTCTTGCAAGTTCATCAGATCTTGCAAAGCGTCTGTCACAGTTTTCCCAAGTGCAAGGAAAAGGTTTCTCACCTACAAAGTAAACAAAATAGACCCAAATTAAAAGGGATTGAAATGTTTCATTTAAAGCTAAATATTACAAAAACTCAGGGTACATTACTGTAAAAATGTCAGCTATATTATCAAGAATTCTGAAATTGAACACCAAGCGCAATAACAAAGACCCACTGACAGTGTTACATAACTAGAAAAAATAAACTGAGGACTACACTATTCAGCAAAAAATCTTATTTGATATCAAAGGTTCAAGAAAAACCTTCCTTGAGACAGTTTTAATCATCTTTAAAGTGAAAACAAGAACAATTAAGGGTTTGCAGTTTTCGCACGCTCTTACATAATAATGCATCGCACACTGCAATTTCACGTGATCAGCTGGTGGGTGTATAGCAGGCAGGACAAAGGTGTGTGTGGGCAAGACATGTCAATGCCAATACGAAAGAAATTCCGTGATGTCAGAAAATCAAAACCTGTTGGTTAGTATCCATATAACTGGGAGTATTATCAAACACAGAAAACTCTGGATGATAAAAAGGATGATCTCATTTTTTTTCCTTTTGCCTTAAAACGATGACTTTCAATAAATACCTGTGTGCGTCCTCATATGAGCTTTCAAATGGGAACTTTTAAAGTAAGTTTTGCCACAGTTTTCAAACGAACAAACGTGATTTCTTCTACGACTGGTCTGATTCTTTCCACTCTCGGTTTCTTGTTGATTTTGTCCTTGAAATTGGGGAAGAAGTCCTGCTTGAGTGACGACAAAATTTCTCTGCTGTAACTGTGAAATGTTGCTTACTCCCGTGGTAGTTCCGTTTGTGGTGGCTACAGGGCAAAGTACAACTACAGCACCAGCTGGTAGATTCGGTCCGCCATTTGCGAGCAGAACTTGATTCATATTTACGCTGTTTGGGAAAACTTTTAAAGGCAAAGTAGACATTGTTGCTGAAGGTGCAGCTGTAGTAGAAATCGCGCCTAGTGTAACATTTCCCGAAGTGGGAGAGCAAAGTCCAGAGTTGCCACGAGGAATTCCAAACTCGGCTGTTTCTTGAACTCTGTTGTTTTCATGCTGTAAAAAAAAAATGGAGGAAATCGGTTAGTGGACTGAATAAGATAAAATCTAGAAATTAAAGAGGGATTCCTAACCAGGAATAACACTGCATAGAGATTTACTTTAAGTTAAGGAAATAAATGTGTTCACCTTTTCTGGTTCGTCCTCAACGGAAGTCGCGCTACTTAACGAAGCGCTCGACGAATTTCTGCTTATAGAAGACAGCCCAGAGTCAGGACTCGGAGTATTCCTTTCTGGAATATGAGGCGACCATTGACTCATAGCAAGGAGAGACTGAACTGCATCCAAGTCGACATTCTCACTCGTTTCGCTTTGACAACCTTCACCATCCGAATGCACGGAATTCGTGTCCTCCTGATGTGAACACAAAAGAGCGTAAAAAAAAATTAGTCACTGGATAACTGAGCATATCTAAGCATCCGAACTGATTTCACTTACTTCCATCTCTTTAGACGGCGACGAAGGCGTTGAAGGAGGAGACATAGGAAGAGCGTACATGACTCACCGATAATCGTGTAAAAACTCTGCTGATGACTAAAAGCGTAGGGGATTTTTGTTATCGTTTTCTGATGATTGAACTTAGATCAGCACGAAGATCATGCAGTACAGAGGGCGTTTGGGGGGTTGGACCAATCACATAACACTTCCGGCGCGGTGAACCAATCAGAGCGCTACCTTCATGTGAAAAGCGCGTGAATTGAACCGTTCTCACGTGTAGTAAGAGACTAAAAACGAACTTTGTCCCGCCAAACGAACAGGGTTTGTTTACTTCTGCCAAGGCCAAAATAGTAAGCACGTGATCAGTTTTGGTCAGGTGTAGACGATTTGTCTTTTTTCGTGACAACATTAACCGAACGACCATTGTCTTTTCTGAAGAATCACGCACAGGTTCACACGTCTCAGGCAGAATACTTTTCTTGTCACGTTTATCATCTCATGTAATGTTTTCAATTTTCTTGCGAGCGACGAAAACCATCTCGTGAGTCGACATTAAGAACAGCCTCGCCTATACAAAGGCGTTGTTTTAAGGCCAAACCTATCTCTTAGATCATTTCTAAATTACTGAAAATAGGGCGCCGCCCGAATTTAAACACTATGAAGCAAATCATAAGGTTATATTACAAAAACTTTAAGTGATAAGTTTTTCTGTCGAACGTGGAAATGCGGACAGTGAGATTAAACCGAGCTCTAAAATTACTTGAGAGCCTCGTCAAATTGAATTTCATTAGGCACGTTTCAACTACGCATATCTACGGAGCGCTTTTCCTTCTATTAAAATACTCACAAGCAAACCGTCAACATTCTGTCAAAAGCGAATGGAACTGATTTAACCCGGTTCGCTGTATTTGTTGCCTTTGTTTGTTCCCTTTACCTTCTAATTTGACTTGGGTGTCGTGTTGATTTTTTTAGGAGAAATAGCGTGTTGATCATACCGTCAAATAACGTGCCTTACATCAGGAACTATTAAAAAGGAAGAAGAAAAGTTTGTCGAGTGATTCCCGATTATTTAGCTGCTTAATCATTTGCCAATCCCTCGTTTCTTACGTAATATGCATTTTTCCTTATTTTACTAAGGAAGAGTAGTTTTGCACTCGAAAAAGAATTGCACAAGCTTCGCTGTAGGACACAAGACTAATTATAGTCATATTTCCACGGACTTACTAAAGAAGGTAATCTCCGCTTTGTTTGTGTCGACGAGTCAACTTATTCCAGAAGCTTTAGATTTAGTTTTCTTTTCTACATTCCCTTAGAACGCGTTTAGTAGACTAAATGTCAAAGACTGGGATGTGTCTCAACGAATCTCTGCGAATTTCCGTTCATCAGTTTATGATAATTTTTGTCACGGATCGCACTTTGTATACAATTTATGAATCAGTGTATTCCATCCAAGTGATGAATGCCTGGCATGTTTCGTTCATTTTTTCTTTTCGTTTTCATCTTTTAAGTTAAATAATGATTGATGCATAGTTATATAACGCTTGAGCAGTTTTGTTTTTGAAATCTGTTAATTAACAAGTTATAGAGTAAAGATGGAAATTAATTCCCCTTAGATCACCTTCAAAACAATTGATCTTTTGAGTCATGGTTTGCAATGTCAGCATCATCTCTCGTCCTGACATGTGTTTGATCAGTTTCGAAGCCACTTACTTAGAAAACATAGAGTTTTGATATAGGCCCGCAACATGGTTCGAATACTTCCGCTTTCTATTTTGAACATCAATTTTTGAAATGCAGCATAAGCCTTGGAATGAACTTCAACTTACCTCTGGCTCTGAATATTCCTGCCGTTCAGTAATTGGTATAACAGTGTGCGCATTGCAAATCGTTACATTTCGTTTTTTTCGACCTTTGTCACTCGGGCCTCCGTTCATACTGCTGAGACCAAGTTCTTTATTAAAGAAGCAATGCGCAGTGTTCTCCAGCAGGAATTTGTCTCAGCTGTCCGTGAGCTGTTTTCGTTTAGACTTGCGGTAAAATGAAACAGTTAAAGGTCGTTGAAGGCGGGGTCAAGGCAGGGAAGGGGTGTGAACATGAACAGCATGAAACGCTGTCCAGTGTACGCGTTGCTACCATCGCCTTCAGCTTACTGACTGAACGAATTGCTTAAAATTCATTATTAAAATCGGAAATTATGATTTCCGGGGGAAAATATTGGGAGAGCTCCATCAAGAAGAGAAACAGCTCGGTTTTCTCTATGTCGGTGCACGTGTCCAGAGTCCACTAACCATTCTAAAACAACTAGTGGAAATCTCGAGCGTTCATTGGTCGAGAACCATCTTCAATGAGAACACGAGGACTCGTGCGACGTCATATCACGCTATGAACACGGGTTCAACTCGAGTCCTTTTTGTACTTTGATCGAATTATATTAGCCTGGCTTTGTCGGATTTTTTCAAGGGAGTCTTGCGTCATGTTTAACTATTGCAATCACTACGTCCATCTGAAATCCTAACGTCTGTGGTATTTTTCGAATGTTTATAACTGTGAACAAGTGTAAGTGTGGACAAATATGAGACAAAGAGGAAACACTGACCACCAGCTTTTTGTGCTATTTGCTGAATGTGTTTATGAAAGGAATTATTTGAATTCACATGTGCGGTGGCCAAATTAAATAATGAGGTAATCTTTCTAGAAAATACAGTACTCTAACTGACTTGCGTTGAGAAATGACGAGAAAATTGAACGCAGATGAAGTTTAAAATTCAAACCTGAATTTCTCGCGTCATCAGTTTAATTTGCGTATTCCACGGAATATAAGAAATACCCTTCACTTAGTGGTACTTTATTTGCTAGTGTATACTGAGACAGACCAAAGACGTTACGTAAATATAAACTTCTTTGGAATATCATCGTATCCTACGGCGCCCGAGGAAATCCGACGGCGCCTCGATAATTTCTGATTCAATTTCGTCTTCTTGGAGAGCACGATCATTCGCATTCCGGGTTCTCTTTAATTCACACACTTTTCCAAAATGTGGAAGTTCTAGTTATAGAGGCTGGCATGGGTTAGGCATACGGTCCTCTCTCGCAGAAGACCACACAACACGTGACTGTTGGGAGCTTATATGTGGGTTGGTGGGATGATTGGTGTAGGTACTCCTCATTTCCTACTTCTTACGTCATTCTCTGTGATTGTAACGGGGGCTGCGGACTGTGACGACACATTGTAGATGGTCACTGTACTTTGACCCAGAGCTAGTCAAATGGTCAAGGCATGTTTTAATCTTCTATGTATCTCGGAAGGGCTGCCGGGTTCTCTAAGTACAAGTAGGCACGTGTAGTTTCGTAATTTCATGAGCTCTTACGTCACCGTTGTAAATTGTGGTATTTCCAGTATGTGCATCAGTGATAATCGGGCGTTTTCCTCAACGCAACAGATATCTAGCGGACCGTACCTAAGCGCAGACATACTGAGATCTTTTAAGCACAGAGAGATACGATAAAGCATGCGAGCTAAACGGACCAGGCGGGTCTGATATCCTTTGACCACGAGTGTGGAGAAACTTGACAGTCGCATCAAATGACCCGTCCATTCCGGGGACACAGCACACTTTGGTCAAACGAAACAAAAAATTTCAGCCATAATAACCTTTGTATCTATTACATTCAATGATGGGACACCTCTAAACGAATACGTTTTCTAAATATTGAGAGTCACCTAAACAAGCGAATGATTCATTGTAAAAAGTACATTCGTACTTATATTTGACCGGCCGCCATGTGTGTAGCACGAAACATCAAATCAAAATAAGGTCCAACATAGCGTCCCTTTATTGTTGTTGGAAAAACTTTGTCCACTCAGCTATGTCGACCTCATCACAGAAAGAACTCCAGCAGAGTGCAGTCGATACGTTGCAATCCACATCAGGACAGCGTGAGAAAAAGAATTATTGTTGTCGTAATTAACCTCAAAGAATAAACACAATATTTTTGTGATATTAGATATGAAGCGTGTGCCAGTCTCCGATGTTGTTTACAGACAAAGTGTTAAGTATTTTCTCGTACAAGGGTCAAACATGCAGGCTTTTTTAGCATGATGTACCTGCGGAAACTATGAACATCCTCTTTTTCTCAGTTTTCTACTTTATACTAGTCCGGAAAAAGTCAGTGAAAAATAACCAAATAAATAAATTGTCGCTGCTCTAGTACTGGAGGTTAAAAGTGTGTAATCGGCATAAGCGGCGACTATTTTTATATAAACATTTTTTTCTTTTCGCGCTGACCGCCATCATAACCTGCGCTTTTCGTTGTATGGGGCTCAATCTCAAGTTTGTCCCGGTGACATGGGAAAGAAACGTGATGTAAGAAAGTGCAGGTGTTCGGTAGACAGGCCGTTATTTGTTGGAGCTAAGTTCTTGTTTCCTCTGATCGAAGTTAAAGTCATTCAATTTTCCGGTCACTTGGTACAAAACAGAACTCAACAGAGCACGACAGATCGAGTAAAATTCAATATCCTGAATGAAGAAAAAAAAGCACAAATTACTTGCAATTATAGCGCCCACTCATATGACCCGTCGAAATTGGAAGCAATAGCATTTTACAAATTTTCGATAAATTGCCACAGCCCTACCACTAGGATTTTAAGAGCTATCATTCTGACATTTGTTGCTTGAGGACAAGTAATCCTTGCGTTTTAAATTTATTTTTATGAAAATCTTTAGATTTAAAAGGCCTTACTGAGCAAGCTAGTGCTGAACAGTGTTTCAAAAGCTATGCCATTAGATATAATTAAGTTGGGAGCAGATGTCTTTAGATACAAGCAGCCAAAATGTAGTTATTGAAAGGTATTGATACATTCTCGGTAAATTTCATGTGGGCCAAAGAAACTAGTGTCATTTTGTTAATTACATCGCAAACTTGGTTGATTTGCTCTTTTCCGGTCTGTTGACCTGCTCGTTCTGCTAAAACAGTTTCGGTTTAGTTACTAAGACATGTAGAGCCATAAAATGCAAAGAGAAACAAATCAGAAGGAAATTTCAAATTATCGGCAATAGACGATTTCTTGGATGACGTCTTTTTTGTAAGGTAAGGTTTAAATGTCATTGTCCCTGTAATGAATCTCTTATTTCAATTTTCGTGTTCAAGGCATTTTTTTTTTTTTATCTAAAGGTTTTTTTGATAGATGTACTTTGCAGTTTTTCAGCTAACCCTCTATGTGCTGTATCTGTCCAAACGGCATCCTTAGTGTCAGACATAGCAATAATCATTCGAGAAGCAAAACGTTCTTTCTTAATAGGTTTGAGCTTTCCTTTGAGTTCGTCCATCTATCGTCAACTAGACAAATGAAATTTTATCCAGTAAAAGAAAAAAACCTCTGAATCTCGGGCTGACTCTTCTTTATCTCTAAGTTACCCATATTTTTTTTTCTAAGAGCATCTACTGAGCTGGTGCGTTGCAAGTGGTATAAACCACTCCTCCTCTTAGTTTGTATACGGCGGTTTAGCCTTGCTCCTCGCCAGTTTTTCCTTCCAACAGCATCAATTTTCTGATGCGAATTACAAATGTCATCTCGATTAAAGCACTTTCCTCCTGACACAAATCCCAAAAAGGCATGACTAACGAGCTGAAATTAAGGCCGATATCTTTTCCAAAGAGTGGCCAATACCCGAAGCCGCGAATTCATTCAAATACCAGCTTTTTTAAAGAGACTATATAGCATTGTCTGAGAAAGAAAATTGCATTGAAGCATTACGCCGGTTTGGTTTGATGTAAATATGAGATATTACCGCTTGTCAAACCAAACATACGTTCAGTTCTACTCACCGCTTTTCGTATTTGTGAATTGGAAAGTTTTGCTGTGTAATTTAATTATCCTAGACGACACAACACCACCAGCCTCTTTAGCCTTTCAGATCCGCAAAAGCCTGATCGAATCTTTGGATTAACCGTATATCACCTTTCTTGAGTCTTCTTGTAAATGGTCTGGAGAAACTGAGCGAAGTCCCCGTGAATCAGTATCACTCAGCGATGCACAGCTAAGACATAGAGTCCAAATTAGAGAAATCAAAAGGAAATAGGGTGCATTTATTGCTTTGAGCTGATTAAGGGCAAAAAACAAATGTCGGTTTGTCATCAATCGAATCTTTTCTTAAGTTTTCTTGATCGGTAGAAATGTCGTGGTAATGTCGTTGCCCTGCCCCGTGATTTCTCAAGATAAATAGTGTTGTGAAATTTCCAGATAACGATTTTCTTGGAGCTTGCGCTTGACTTTTGACTATAACGCTCAGGGTTATCAGATATAAAAGCTGGCTTCTGATTTCGAGGCCGTAAACAGAAAACGAACAAATAGAAAACAACTGTACCAGGTGAGCTAAGATGGAACTCAAACATTACAAGCAGAGTGTAATTTAGCAGTTCTCCGTGCAAATACTTCCACTGAATTCAGTTTCAGTAGTAGCTTTCAGTGCCGACTGAAAAATAGACTGCCGATAAATAGAGGACAGGTCAACTAAGTTATGAATAGAATAAGGAAATGAACCTTTCAGTTCGTCGATGTTAAGTAAATACATTGATCTACCCATTTCTCGATCGGTTCACTCAGAGGTCTAACAAATATGAAGTCATTTTACCGAATCCTGTTAGGTTTGCAACGATCGCGGCTTTCAAAGACTGATCATCACAGTTGAAAAATTTCGCGGATTTGCTAAAGCGCTAAGACTCGACCAAGACATTATCAAGACCTCAGATTAATGCACAACTTAGAGGAACTGATTTTGTTTTTGTTGTTGTTTTATCGTTATAATATGTTTATTTTTCGGAGAATGATCTTTCTGTCGAATCAAGTGAAACGTACTATTGCAAAAAAACCATGGCACATGAAACTTAACGCTACAAGAATATTCAATAATAATATGACTTGCCGGATATTCACTAATTTTGCGCTTAAAGAGTCATTCAATAAAAAGAGTACCTAAATAAACATGTTTTCATCAGCCCAGCGATGGCTTAGACGAATTAATTTCAAGCTGTTTTCTAGGAACTTTTTCAAGTTTCCGATAACTTTATGATCGTTCCCTATATTCAAAGTATCCTTTTCTTACTTTACTTCCAAACTGTATAAAAACCTGATCTTAGAAATGAATTGTTGCAGAGAACCAACTCTCTAAATTCCATATAATTTGGATATATCAACAAAGTTGAAATGGTAAATTGGAGCGTGAAATGGTAAATTCGAGCGTTAGCCCTTCGACGAAGGGCTAACGCTCGAAACGTCAGCTTTTGTAATCGTTACGGTGGCCAATTTATCATTTCAACTTTCTTGATATATCCAAATTATTTCGTTACCCCCACCGACGCAGCCCCAAATAGTTTCTTTACAAACTATCAGCCTTTATTCATCTCTAAATTCCAATTCGACAGGGGATTTGAATAACTGCCTCAACTTGTCCACTGCTGAATCCGATTAATAACTAAGTTTAACATTTCTAGAGAAACGTCTCTTTTCAACCCCAATTTCTTCCTCGTAGTCTAGGCTATGAACCCCTTTTCTTTTCTTTTATATCTCAATATTAGTCTTAAAGCGTTGGTCAATCCCATTTCACTCACTTTTCAATGCTGGTACTGCTTATTTCCCAGCAGCTAGTGGAACAGTTTACACGATGCTTTAATTATATTCTGGAAACTCTTTGAAGCTACTGATTCAAAACAGTTTTTCATAGAAGGAAGAACAACGTTAAACTGTGAGCGAATTTAAGGTAACTGCCTGAACAAAGTCATTTTAACCTCTGTAAAGGTAAAGTGCGGTTTTAAGCTAATTTAATAAGTTGCCTCAATCCTTGTTTTGATCCCAAATTGAGAAAAAAAAAGCTGCGTGAATTGTTCGTCTTCATGTAAACTTCAATGAAAAGTGGGTGTTTAGGGTGATTCCTGCGGAGATACTCAGCTGTAAACACAACTGAAACATCACTTTCAGGCAGTGTAAAAAATGAGCAAAAACACTCAACAGTTAAAACCGGTTGCACATTTTCAGGTTGATATCTGTCGAGCTCAATTAGCGTGAGAACACCAGGACAACGTGGTTTTGCAAAATGAATGAAGCCGACTAAAAAGCTACTCCTTCCTTTTGTTCACGGCAAAGTTGACCTACTCTATCGTAACTTACGATATCATCGCCTTTCTTACAGTTTCAAAGCAATGAACAAGTAAGCTCTAAAATAATCATCTTTAATTTGATAACAACTTTAAAATGCCCTTTTCACGCCGTTTGCAACTATATGCGCTTTTCTATTGCAAACCATCTGTTAAAATGGATCTTTGTTAACTAGAATTGTTTATTTAATATTATTACATTCAGTTATTCCAATTAGTTCATTCGACTTAAAAGTAACGGTTTGAGGGCAATAAATGTTTTTGGCAACGAGAGCTAAATTATAAAACTGAAGTTCAACCAGTTCTAGAAATTTCTGTGTAGTTCAAGAGATTTTTTTTAATTCAAACAATCTTCGATGCCTAATGTAGATTTACTTCAGGCCTCCCTTCTTTCAACGGATCTAGAATTAAGCATGGATGCAGTTTGAGGCGGTCCTTAAACTCTTGTTCTACCTTGATCTATTGTCAAAGTTTGTTGTTTTTGTCGTATTAGATGATCAACCCTCATCCTTCACAGCACAGACAGGTGTTCTATTGTTTTTATATAAAAAGCAAATAAAGTGATCTGAATTCGCCTCTCATGGATCCAATTTGTATGGGAAGCTACAACCCAGTGGAAGTCCGGAATAAATATAACTTGAATGATATTTCCTTGGGTTTTCCGGTGCCCGATATTAAACTGCTATATCGGTTTGGTGTTTGCCTACGCTCTGTAAATATTCTCTTTTTGTTTTGAAGAAAAGTCGGTGGGAAAACTGCAATGAAGAAGTTTTCCCACCAGCAAACTTTTCGAAGGTAATTTCTTTGTTACAAGAAGAGAGACTCCAATGAAAAACAAGATGGTGGCTTCCAGTCAACTCACGAAAAAAAAAAATTAAAATACAATAAATCAAAAGTGAATTGAATACCTCGCGTTGATTTATTTCAGGAGATTAAAATATTTACTCCTTAGTCGTATTTCTTCACGAGCCAGAAGATTTGAGTACAGAAGAGAAAAACTCTCGATTTTATTCCCCTACATTGATGAACAAGTTGTCAAAATCGCTTACTACATTTCCCCCCTAAATTATACTTTGTTGCTCACCACGTATATCGAGCAAACCAGTCTTTATTAAAACAAGTGTTAAAAGAATTTATTATAAGAGAATAAGTTCTCGGATAAACTGTCGTCGGAATATTTTTTTTTTCATTGAGTTACACATTATCTGTGTATGTTGTTGTCTGCATGGCACATTATCAGTGTCAGACAACAAGTAGACCTCTCGCCAGCAACCACTGCCCAAGGTCTTCAACTTTCTCGCGGGCAAAGAAACGCTCGCCGCTGGAAAGCTAAGCATGAGGCCATCCGATTCAATCAAGAGTAGGGTGCATTTCGATTGCGAGTCGTTGGATTTTGGATTTCGTTTTATATTTGATCAGATTAAAGGGTACAGTAAGTTTTTGTAAACTAACCTTAAACCCAAACAAAATCATTGCAGCCAGGATTACGTTCGACACCCCAGTCAAAATTCCCCCACCATCGCATACTGATCTTCTCTGTAAGAAAAGGCAAGTTTGTTACCAGCACAAAAGGTCTCCCAAAGTTAGTTTAGGCACGAAGCTGGCTTGCTCATGGGCTTTGTTAAAATACGAGATATGAAGTATGTTACAGCATAACTATCATAAAGTAGGTATGACTTGACATTCTTCGACTTTAAGTAGGCTAAGGCTAAGTTAGTTTCCTAATCATTCGTAAATATTCATGATAGATCTCTTGCCGAGAATCTCAATGCTGCGTTAAAGGCTCAGACAACGTTTTTTAACACAATTTGCTCGTTCAGTAATAAATTACAATTACGTGTGCCATGAAAACATACCTAATAATTAGTGAGAAATAATGTTTCTCAGTTGGTTCACAAACAAATTATAGTTTTGATTAACAATGCTATAGTTAAAGAGAATTTTATTCGAAGCCGGCCCGTAAGGGAGCACTGTGGCTGCAGACCACCAGCTCAAAGCAATTAAAGATCTTGCTATGTTTGATTGCTGTGATCTGGTTGTTGGCTTCTACCAGATAACATGTGATAATAATCCACTTTTAAAGTAAAACAAGTTGAATATCTCTATACAACAAAGTCGTCTTTAATGTTTGAAGGTGTTTCCAATCTGCTGATAATTTTTTGTTCGTTGAGCTATCGTCCAATAGAAGAAAGCTTCTTATAGAGATAAGTTAGTGTACGACGGACGCCGTAAAAGGCAGTCGGAGTACAGGCCAATTTCTTCCACGAGAAGCTTTGCCTAGCAAACTGGAACTCAGTTCAATAACAATGCTATTAGACTGGTACCAAGCCGTACTCGACCCATCCACTGATGGTTTGGCATTTGGCCAATTACGCAGGTTAATGATTTTCCATTCGTTTAAATCTTTTCCATCATCTGCTCTCCCTATTCATTTTTATTATTGTTATCATTGTTTCTTTCTTTCCAACTAGACTAATATTTTGAAGCCTCCGAGTAAACAGCCTTGAAACTAGTTTTGCATGTCACATAAAACGACCAAATATAACGTGAGTTACTCCCTTAATTTCTGTCAAAATAAGGTTGAGTTAATCCAGCTTATATGAAGTTACAAGCAGAGACCTGATGCAGACTGAGCCTGACCTAAATATCATACCACACAAAGATCTGCTTCAATGAGAAATGAATCATGTACCGGTTTTCTAGACAAAGATCACGCCGAAGCTAGACTGTTTTCATGAGCATCGAGCCTTCGGTTGACTTTTGATAAACTGACTGAGGATCCAACGGGTCCTCTTTGGATGGAAGACAGAAAAGAGATCGGGTCAGTTTTCTGAATTCAAGGTTAAATCGTTGGTTAAGAAAGATATACAAGCACGGGTTTATAGCGCTGTTGGCGTGTGACAGAAAGTAAAAGCTGGATTCCACGTACTGGTGTGATATTAAAGCAATGTAAGTCGGGGTGAAGAAATAATTCATCAAATGCATGATGTGACTCGGTAGCCAACACAGTGCAAAGATCGTAACGACGATAATGAGCATGCGCAATACTTTCCTTTTGGACGACTCATTTTGACGCTTTTGACTGGCGGTTGAAACCCCTGGGATCACACGTGACCAGAGGCGACGACCAATAAGAATGTACAATGTCGCAATGATTGCAAGAGCAAACAGATACAGCACCACAAAGGTTGTCATGAAGTAAGCTCTGGCAATTTCGAATTGTTTCATGTGGTCTGAAGATAAGTAACTCCAGATCATTTTACACTGCCAGGAAGATCCGTCAGCGGAAGGTACGCTATCAAAAAGAACTAGATATAAAGAGAAATAAAGCCAAGAGGAAATCCAAATCACAGACGTAATTAATTTAGTGTTCCGAATAACGGGGACGTCGGCGAAGGGATGAAGAATGGCAAAGTAGCGGTCCAATGATATAAACACGAGGGTTATAATAGTGGCTGCTATTGACAGCACACCTGAGAATTTAACAAACTTGCATGTCACTGATCCAAAGCCACCGGGCAACCACGTCAATCCAGTGTACAAAAACTTCACCTACAAGGTGAAATAAAAAGGACGTAAAGATTAACAGGCTGTGGGTTAAAAAAAACTTGTCGGAGACAAAGCTGAAGAGCTTCCACAAACATTGACAGAAGTAGTTGATTTTGACAAATACAATGATACTCCTTGCTAAGCGCAAGCTCAGTCTCACCTTTGCGTAGCTAATCTGTGCTCCTTTATTGGAAAGGAATATTAGACTACATAAAAAATGTGTGCGTACACACGTTTGAACAAATGACCTAACATTGTTTAATTGACGATTTATCCAAGAACCAGTAACATGAGCAAAGACAAACGGGAATGGCATTCCTTCCGAGATCAGACCAGAATTCGGATTGTTAACAACTTTGACGAGATTTGAATGAACTGTCTATGCACTCGTTTATATTAAAAAGCAAATGCTGTTTGACTCACCTCGAAAGGCATAATGAAAATAGAAACAAGCAGATCACCAATCGCCATGTTGACAATAAGAAAATTGAAAGTAGTCTTCATTCTCGCACGAGTTGCCACGATGTAAATGATGCAAGAGTTACCAAAGAAACCAAAGATAAAGATAACGGTGTACGCGAGAGTCATCCACACTTTGGCTCCGTGAACATCAGGCCCCTGACCACTCAATGACGTCGAGTTTTCCATATCTGGAGATAAAAAGAAGATAAGACTATCAAATTAATTATTTATACAGAATAATAACTCTCTTGCACGCAATCATTGGCAAGTAGTCATTCTCTTAATAAGCCAAAACCAACGCTTGTGGTACTAATTTACCCAGTGTCAAATCCAGTAGTCGCGCTTGCTAAATCAATTCTACTTACGCCCAGTATTTTCTGTCAGTTTAACTAGTGGTAAACTTACTTACAGCTTGCAGTTAAGTGAATTAGTCAATCAAACCAAACATTGAGTCTTTTGTATTGTTCTGAACCGGCAACCCAGGACAAAAAGGAAGAAAAAAAGAAGGATAAAACTTTGAAATAATCGTTTGTAAAGTGGTACCGATGGGTAACCACACCTGAGGGCGACCTGACTTGCGGCGACATGGCAAGAGGGCGACGTGACTTTTAATGACATAAACAGATACCCAATTTGAAAGAACAACCCAAAAAGAACGAGAATGGTTAAGATTGACAAAGACTAACATGGAGTGCAAAGAATGAGAATTAAACATTTGGGCCGCACTAATCATTACCCAAAAACTGTAACTGAGACAACTTTACACACCAGAAAATCATTATCAAACCACAGGCTGACGATATAAGAGGAAAAGAGTTCATAAGTAATTAATGTCGTTAGGGAAAAAGTACAATTGTCAGCCACAGAGAAGGATAGGAACTACACTCATGTAATTATTCGTTTACCAAGAACGTTCTAATGAAAGCCGCCACTGACCAGCAGGTGCTGTTTAATTAACTGAGTAAATTTTATTTTTATGTTTCTTTTCGCCTCGGGCGCCTGCATGTGTGATATATCTTAAATGAATACTGTTAAGTGTAAATCAATGCAAAAATATCGAATTTTAGGGAAACCTTTAGATGTAACCACGACTCAAACGTGCTGAAGAAAGTAGTAACTGAAAGCAGATTTCCAATATCAATAATTATTTTAAAGATGAAACAATTTTAATGTAACAGAAAAATCCGAGCCCCAGATGTCTAAAGTCTATTATGTCCCGAGATGCTATTAGTTTCGTCCTCTTTTGTGCAAAGTTTTATTAGGAAAAGAAATCGGAAATTAGTTCGAGATACGTTCACTTGCTAAAATATGCACCAAAACAACTTTTTCCGGTCCGATAAACGGTATCCAAGAAATAACTAGATTTAACTAAATCGGTTTCTTTAATGAAACAGTTTGCCTGGATAAAACAACTACCCGTGGGAAACATTTGTAACCAGCAGCTGTGGGAATTGTTTCGCAGCAGCATTTTGATATTTTACTTTCGTTGGCGAATATCGGCACCAAAAGAACAAAAGGGAAGCTTCCCGTCAACTTGGATTTGATTTCTCAATTATTTCAAGCAATAAAAAGCGATGAATCTTCTTAAGTTCTCTTGAGAAGTTCACAAATGTTTAAATTATTCACGAACTGTCACTTATTCGTCTTTGATTTTAATGAACCTTCAGGGAAAGCTGCAGTATTTGATCGTTTAATTTCGCTATGGAAATAAAGTCAGTTTTATTTTAGCGCCACATAAAATTATTTGTGACAAAAACACACACAAAGTAAACCGGGACAGTAAATATTTTGGATTTTCATTATCTTTCCTTTCCATTCCGACCGTTCAGAATGACACTCACTTAAAAAACAAAACCAACAGCACCCACTCCTACAGTTCATGCGTATTTTAATCGAACACGACAACTAAATGTTTCATATAAAAATATATAAATGGTGGTGACAAGAAACTTTTAAAAGAAAATATTACAAAAAAGGAAAATATATTCCACAAAACTGTAAATTTCCTCCAAACAATGTTCTAGTTTTTCAAATCATTGTTGTGCAATTATGACATATTTCTTGGAAAACCCATCCAAGACTAAGTAGTCGTACAATCAAGCTGCAAGCACGAACGACTTAAAAGTAGACCCTAGAAAAAATTCTGGAATTAAGAAAAAGTACCTTGACTTGTTCACAGGAACGAAAAGTGCATCAAAAGTCGCTTTATATAAATAGAAATCCCTGACGTTATTAAGTCAGTATCGGAGAACATTTCCCTTTTAAATCCATTTACATGGCAAATGTTTTTTGCGATATATGTGACTCTATGTACCAAACTAACAGTTGAATTAAATAACAAGTTATAAAACTTATGCAAGTCACTGAAGCCGTGCTATCATAAAAAGAAAAAATACATTCCGCACTTAGAGCGTACCTGGGACAGAAGTGTTATTTGCTGCCATGGTCAGCCTTGTACTCTAAATACTCGATCAAGCGTAATTGAGGGTTCTTCAGTTGTGGCCTGACCTAAAATCGCTAGGAGCATAACACACGATAAACTGCGTGATGGATGATAGAGCAGCAATGTTAAGCCTATGATGAACAGGACTCCGCGCTATGGTGGATTAATTAAAGCTTTACCACATATATTAATGGTCTCCGCAGCTGATCTAACCAAGGAACGTCGATTTTTCGTATCAAATATCTACCTCAACTAACACACTTGTCACTTGCCCTTGTCAGAGTTAGGAGCTAAGCTCACTTGACGTGTCGGTCTCTAAACAACAGAAACTTTTAATGATGCTGATATAAAGAATCGATAGGATGCTGGGATGCCCCGGAGGCAAATTAATGTTACTGGTGATAAAGAACAGTTTACATGGCTCAGACAGAATAAATACGTTGGAAAATTAAAAGACAAGAAGTGATTGGAAGGAAAGTAATCGAGAGCGACAACTCTACGCGATAAACATTTAAAAGTGTTACAACAGAAAAATTCTTACGTTGTAAAAAAAACTTATGACGGAGCATTGAAGCCAATACACGCGGATAACGCGTCAAGAGTGTCAAGCCAATGGTGGAGATAAACTGAAAAAATCATGCTTTACTTTCATTATTAGCTTCATGCAAATTCGATTTCAAACATTAGCAAAAAGCAATTAAGAGAGCGGCGCCGAGGATGACAATCTCTAATGGCGGAGTAATTTCCTTTACAACAAAAGAAACTCATATTATACTCATTTATAAAAAAATAGATTCGGCAATATGCAGTTATATATCGTTGTTTTCAAAACACTTCGGGTGAGATAAAAATGACAAGGGAACATTATAAAGATACTATCTTATTCTCTAAATGCCATTTCTTTTGTCCTAGGACTCCATGCAGGTAGAAAATTTAATTAAAATTTCACGTCAGTATTTCAGCTTACTGTCAACCTATGATCACAGCTAAGGATGTCAGCAGAACATCTTACTAATTACTGCAGTTTTCTTTTAGTCCCTTTTGTGGGCACCTGTTCGTTCCTGGAATACTTATAAATAAGTATTTATGGCCCTGTAGATAAAAGCAAACTGTTTTGATCCGTTTCGCGAGAAGAAAATATATCCACGGGTACTTCTAAACAACTTCACGGCTTCTAACATTAACTGACCGTAAGGGCTTGAAGTAAACCTGGCTTTGGTCGGGTGTCAATCCTCCATCCAGGAGGAGTGGGCCTCAGAAACAATTGAGTCTTCAGACGGAGATCAAACAGTGATTGTCATGGCTCAGTTTATAGAAGAATCCACACAAAACTCCCATAATGAGTGTTCCTTTTTGACGGGCGGCAAAGAGGCTTTCAGTTATGCAACAAAAGGACAAAAGTCGAATTTTTCCGGTAATAAACGCAACACGCCGTCAACAAAACAAGTTACATGGAAACGACAATCAGAATACAAGTAAATCTGCAAGCTTGCATGTCAAGCAGTTGAAAGATAACAATTTTATCGTTACCAAATCTCTTTACACTTCCTAAAATGCAAATGTTGAAAAAGTACGATATGATCATTCTGTAACTGAACACTAAGACTTCTCAGAGTACAACAGTTGCACTTATTTTTCCCAACCTTTTTACAAGAATCATGTTATGATCAAGTCAGTTGACATTGGCAAGCATATACATCTCATGAATATAAACAAAGTTAAACTTTCGATAAGAACAATTTTCTCTCTGGGCAACGGAAGTTCGTGTAATTTTTCTACATGAAGGCTTTTTCACTGCTGAAACTTACGTTACTTCTATCCTTTTTCTGACAAAATCCGGGAAACACAACGATAGAAACAATTTACTAGTACTGGATATAGACGACCTATAACTGATGTCTCAGCGACTGAGATAAAAATTGAAAAAAACTTCAGGAACATTTGATACTTTTAATCATATTCTGTGGGTTTTTGAGCTTAAACGTCTATGAGTGACATTAAAATCTGCAAATAACTTAGAAACCATCCAATTCAAATATAAAATGGACCCAATAATATTTTAAGCTGAAAGTCGGCTGTAAAAGTAAATTAGGAGAGTTTACAAAAACTCCTGTCATTTATTCTACAGAACAGTAAGGTTTTTCCACTGAAGTATTCTTAATTTACTCGATATGTATTAAATTTGTTATACCTAGAAACAAAATTTCGTCTAAGCGATGACCCAATGCACGGTTTTGTAGTACGAGGTCCAGTCCACAGATAGCCAAACATTTACGTTGTTTGCAAAGCTTGACGCAAATAATCCCCTCAGAGTTGAACAAACGTAATAAACAATATTAGTTGATGAAGTTTAGATGGGAAATTGAGGGGAAAACAACTTTTTGTTTTTGCATGAGGTACAGAAAACTGCTCAACATTTCAGATTTATGCCCCATGGGAATCAGTCACAGCTCCAAATATACATGATAACATAGAGAGGAAAATGTTAGCCCCCAGAGGAGAAATGAAAACAATTTCAACCACAACTTCTGCGTGGCTAAGATGTCAGTTATCTACAATGACCACTGCTTGAACACAAACACAATTTTTATAGATAATTTTTCACCTTTGCGACCCGGGTAATCAGCCAAACCACAGGCGTATTAAAGTCAACAAGGGGAGGTCTGTGGCTTGAGTTCAGCTCACTTCTTTATTGTCAGGAGAGGTGAGCGATTCAGCTCGATTCAACAGCTCCTAGCAGGCTTCAAGAGCCAGGTGTTAATTTTGCGTCATCACATCACAATTTACCGCCTTTCAACCAATCCCCGTAATCTCATCTTATCTCTAGCCAATGGGCACAAAACATTACCGCAAAATAGAAATCACTCATAATTGGATACACAGCCTTGCACAATAAAATAAATCTACTTTTATCCCATCAGCTCTTATCATTTTTTTCCTTTCACTTGCAGGGATTATGAGTCTACAGACGTGCTTATCTTCAGGAGTCAGGTCGAAAAAGTCCAAGCGTTCCTGTGTCCTATCATTCGACGCGCGACTAAAGACATTTCTTGACCTTCCTCCTAATCTGAAGTAAAAAACTGTGCTATCTTCCTAAAGGAGTATTATATCACCGATAAAACGTACCAAGTATGACCGAATGGATAAAAATGCACTATTTTTAGCTGCGCAAATCTCCCAGAATATCAGTATGGCCTTAATTCACAAGCATCGTGTTAGAATCCACCGAACTGTGGGGAGCAAAGTGTCTGCCCCTCCCACTTTAAACGTTTGTTGATGACTTCGTGTTGTCTGCAGCAGAGCGTTGCTCCAGGTTAACTACGACATGTATCACGGTTAAATTTGGAGATAGATATTGAGGTTAAGATCAGCTCAGTTTACTGAACGAATAGAAGACTGATGAAATCTGAAGTTCCCGTTCTCGTCTTGATCTTTTAACCAGCAATACCTCTCGAAAACAGAGATTTGATGAGCTAGCCATTGTTAGCTATTGTTTGAGGCGAATAGTAGCTTCGGATTTTTGATAAAGGAAACAGCATCAACGACATTTTGGTACAGTGAATTTACCACGGGGTAACTGTGCTTATCATATTTACAAACAAAATACATGTTCAACTTACTCACTGAACGGTTCAAAATTGGCACCCGCACAAACGAATTTTTATACGCAGCTTTAGCCACGTAAAGTTTTTAGTCTTCCGGGCGCGATCTCGACACAGTTCAAACTGCCTGTATTGGAAAGAAAACGTCGTACACTTCTAACATTTAAAAACAAAATGTAAACAAACATAACTTAATCTTTACAAGACAAGGCTAGTGTTAAACTAAGTAGAATAAACAAAAAAAACATAACATGTTTACATAGGCGAGTAAACCTACCTTGAATTGGTTTTTTTGTATGTGTCAATACTCCCCTGGAAGTTAGCAGCTTAGTGCATTTACACTAGAGCAAGGGTTTACACTTTAGCTTTGATTTTAGAATGAAAGGTGTGAGTATCGCATGGATTTTGTACCTACAGCTTAGAGCTTCGCTTCATAAATCTGTCCGTGTGAAAAGTGGGAGATGTCATACTCTTACACACGTCATATCTGCGTACATGTCTGACGACACGTGGTATTAATTCTCCTTCTAATTGATCCATAACAAAATGATAATCGAGAACACACAGGACCACATAAAACAGAACAAAGACTTCCGAGCCGTTGGAAACGGAAAAAGACAATGCAATGACATAGCCGAATTCAATGTGCTTTGATAAGATCCTAGCCGGCGGAAGAACTCTGTGCATGTCCCGGGGCTTTATTACCCAGTTCACCAAGCCATCATTGCAACCATTAGAATTCGTTAAAATTAGCTACTTTTAACATCAGTCACAGATTAAAAACCTATACCAAACGATTAGTTAGTCAACGAGGTAGAGCGCACACAACGACACGAAAGGAAGAGGGTTAGAACGAAGAAAGAATTATTCTGAGATGCGGCAAGATCTTTTACGGTGCATTTCGTTATGAAAATTCTTTTTTTTCATCGAATACACTGTACCACGTTATTTAGAGAAGGTTATCTAAGATGGAAGGAAACCTTACAAGGTTTGCCAGAGTAGACAAGCTCCATATAGGTAATACTTATCTAAAAAAGAAAACACTGAGAAAAGGATTAACACGAAAAATACGAGTTTGAAAAACTCGTGTCCTATTTCCATTGATGCATAATTCCACGTGGGTTAAAGAGCGTGCATCATGCACGCTCTTTAACCCACGTGGAATTATGACCGAAAATAAAACACAACGACGACAGCAAGGACGTGACATCTTAAAAAGGATCTAATGAGCAAAATGATTGCTCAGTGCGTGCGTTTTAAAACTTTGTGCTTTTCTTTGCCGTCCTCTCTACAACAACAACTTGAAATCAGAAAAATTTGCGTGGTTTGAATACGGAAACCCCGACGGCATGTTATTTATGTTGCCATTTGGAATTCAACACTGCTCATGTTATGCTTAACTCGGTTGAGGTGTGGCTCCATAAGAGATGGTTGACACTTCCTGGTATTCGCGAAATTCTAGCTTAAAATAT